TACCCACCCACGAGCGAGGGAATTCCAAGGACGTCACAGAAGCCACCAGCCAATCAGGAGCACCGTGTTTCCCCAAGGCCAGCTGGCGAGGGAGATTCATCTTCAGCAAAAGTGCAAGTAACAAACAAACGTTGTCTCTTGCTGATCTGGTGCAGATTGATCGTAAACAGTTAAAGATAAGCCATATCTCTGCTTTTGTGGTTTCTCAGGTGTTATTCTAAGATCTTGTTAGAAGTATTAGAATTAATTTGGGACGGTTGTCAACTCATCCTCTGAAATGCCTCTGTGTGTGCGAGTTTGTTTGTTGTTTGCTTATTACGTAGTTTGTTTCATGTATCGTAGTGTAGCTCATAAAATCTTTGTACTCATTTTGTAAGAACTGTGTTCTTGTTTATGTGCTTCTAAGTCATTGCCTCGAGCTGTAGATCTTGTTACCTTGCTAAAAGTTAACTCAATACTGTGTTATTTTATTATTGTTGGCCACGTAATAATATTAACAAGATTGGTAAGATACGATGACTTTTTGCAGGACAAATGGTAGATAAAGTGTGAATCTTTTAATCTGATTCAGTCTGACTCAATTGAGTCAAATCAATGATTAAAATATTTAAGATCCGGTAAATTGAAATGAGCTAATAAACCCTGATCGATCTTAAAATGTAGGTTGATCCCCTACAACATGATGAGTCGTACTGTAAAGAAACCATTCACTTGCACTTAAGCCACGGTCACACTGGACTTTTCTCGCCATATATTTCCATTCATACACACGCAAATGCGTCAGACCGGAAATGCAAGTTCATGCATCAAGTTTTGCAGTTCACTGCATTGCAAAGTTCAAGCTTGGTGAACTCTGACCTGTGAAATCACATCACTTGACAGTGTGAGACCAATTGAAGATCAAAACATGACTTCTCTGGACAGAAATGTAAAATATGGACCAAACGCTCTCCTTTTTAATGTCTAAAAATCTTGTTTAATCCCGCCCCTTTTTGCAGTGCCGTACAACAGAATTTTCCATGCTCAAACTCTAATGTGATCGCAGCTTCGGCGTGGAAAGAGTTTCAGCAACTTCTCAGACCTTAATAAACGCATGAAGACCCACAACAATTGACATGCACTCAGTGTGGGAAGAGTTTCAACCAATCAGCAAACCTTAATGACCACATGAAGATCCACACCGGTGTGAAAGAGTATATGTGCTTGAGTGTGAGAAGACTTTTATTACAGCTCCAAAATTTAAACTGCACCAGACGATTCACACTTGAGAGACCGTATAAGTGTTCACAATGTGACAAAAGGTTTAATCAGTTAACACATCTAAAAACACAAAAGAGGATTCACACTGGAGAGAAACCGTACAGATCTGATCAGTGTCTACAGAGTTACGCTTATTCGATGCAGCTTAAGTGAAGTTTCATAAAATAATTTCGAGAGGAGCATGTGATATGATTGAGCACTACTGGCCACACATCCGTAATACGTAGTAATCCAATCAGAGTGATCCTAGCTTGATATAAATGGATCACTTTCTCCTTATTGCTCTATCTTCGTTTTAGAAGAATGCTTCCCGCTACAAACACTCCAGCATTTAATCTACGCTTCAGCATAATTTAACCTTCCGACATGAAAAACAAACTACAACTCCTCCAGCCAGAACCCCGCTCTCCTCAAAACTTCACCCGATGCCTCGCCTGCAATCAAGCCTGAATCCCCGCAAGACGCCGGCACATCAGCTCTTCCTACTTTTACTTCAACTCCCCCACACAACACAAGCCACAACTGCGACTAAACTCAAGACGCCAGCGATCCAAGCCACGACAATAAAGCCAAACTCTCAGTGATCTCCTAGCGGTCCACATTCGGTAACGTGCATGCTTTAAAGGGAAGTCTGGCGAGACCAGCGTGAATAGAATGATTTAAACGAAGAACTCACCTCTCAGCTTCCCGCTTGTCAGCAGATCCATTACATTCTGACAGCTGAAGTAGTATGAATGCAAATGACCAGGCAATCTAATCCACAAACGTTAGTCCACAACACATTCATACGTTGATATACATCCATGGAAAGGTGCACTGTTATCCAAACCAGCTGCTGGAGCGAGTGGAGCCATTCTTTCAGGCATAAAGATTGGCTGTTTCTCAATATGCGTTCTTCAGTGGTCTTGCGTCCTCGTGTTCTCGTGCAACGTCATCATCAGCTGCCAAAGTTCAGTTCCAATACTCAAGACTGCAAGTACGGAGGACGCCTGAAACTTCCCGGATGTGATCTTGATATCGAGGACGCAACGATGCAGACTTGAGCACCGAACTCGCTCCGGAAGTCCCAGAAGTCATTGCGACTGGAGGTGGGAAGTGCTGCATTTTATCAAGATTTATTATTAAAGTTCAGAGATATGACTTGTTTACCTCAGGAGTTTCACTAAATGAAACATGGACATCTTAATAAAGGAATAAACACATTAAGGGTGTTTGTTTGCTGAAATTCGTATTAAAATCTGTTTTATTTATACTGTTCAGCGTATATTTATAATGTTTTTATGCAAAGTATATATTTTGAAAAGGGGAAAAAACAATAAATTGTTGTATGAGTGCTGTAATGTTTAAATAATTTACCATTTAAAACACGTGAAGGTCATGTGACCATCAGGAAGAACGCAGCATCTCAATTCTCAAAGGACGCATTCTCTGCCCTCGCGGTCTCCTGGGTTCGTTCTTCCGAGAACACCTGGCAAGACCGGTCTGCACAAGAACACAAGTCGGTTCTCTGCGTTCTTGGAATTGAGAAACAGCCATTGTAGCAATTTAATCTACAAAATGGCCGCCGACCTTTGCACTCCGAACTACGACTGATACTCCAAGGAGCCAATAGCTGAAAGGAGAAGTATCACCATCCAATGGGCTTTCCAAAACCTGTGATGGTCCCGCCTTCTCTCTTAACAGTTTCATGAATGGACTGTGTGCAAAGACTTTGTGAATTAATCAGATCATGTTAAGATTGCAGACATGTTATTTATCATGGATCGAGTAAAGCCATGATAAACATTACATTCACACAGTTCCTACTAAGTGGCAACATCGTTTTTCCAGTAGGAGTCTTGCCAAACTTGCCACTCACCCTCTAGCAGAAATCTCCACCGCCCAAATCACATTTCACGATTTCTGCTGGAGATAGCAAAATTAAATAAAAAATTGTCTAAAAAAAGTCTCCTGATCACCCCCCCCCCCCAGGCCTTAGATTACCCCTTTATATACACATATATTTATATACTCTCATATATACACATATATTTATTTATAGCGCGGCCACTTCCCTGCTCTATCTCCATTTGGAATGTTCCTCGAGTATAATTTTGACTCTCGATGAGCCAACCCTGCCCAACCCTTCTGGCCCCTCTTCACTAGTCTCCCCCAACCCCCTCCCCCACTCGGCTCCCACAGGAGTCTGTTTCAAACTTTGCTCCAACTGGAGCCCCCTACTCTTCTTTCCTTCCTTAATCACTATATCCAGCAGCTGGATATAGTAAAAACTTTCTAGCTTCTTGGGGGGGAATTCTTCGAAATACTGGGCTGCTGTCCCAAGTTAAAAGCATTTTGGGGGGCTATCGAGACCTACCTGATCTCGGATCCCCTCATATGCTTATTGACCGAGCGGGAGCCCTAGGCTCAAATATCTCAGAGCTCAGGGTTCTCTCCCGGGACAGCATGCCAAACCGGCTTTAAATGCTATCTAAGTGGGAACTCTTGAAATGTATTTTGCAGCAATGAAGAGAATGATATCTCTATCATTAAGGACATACAGCCTTGGCCGGATATTGGCTCTTTTGCTGGAGTGAAGTATCAGGTGTCCATAATTGAACTTCATGGGATGGCACTGGCAATTTTCTTCATGTGCGTCAATGCACATGGCTTCATGTTGCTTGTTCTTATATATAAAAAAAGATCCAGCTCTGATGCTGCTTGTCGAAGCAATTGCTATCCCATCTTCATGGCTAACCAGCTGGCCGTGGTATTCAAGACAACCTCCCTGATCTGAAAGGGTCTTTTGGTGAAAACTTCATCACTCTTGTCAGGGACGGGCCTGACAGTCAGTCCTTTCCAGTGTTGAGACAAAATCATTTTTTGCACAAAACTGCTGTCGATGACCAAGTCCAACCTGGCAAAGGGCTTCCAATGTTTCAGAACCACTGCAGCCTGTGGGACTGCAGCCTGACGTCTACCCTTGTTTGTCCATCCAGCCATTTATTTTGGACACTGATGGCTGCTGTCCAGCAAAGTGTTCTAGAAACACAAAACACATCAGTATTTGTCTATTTTTACTGTTTGTGTGTCATTACACATCTGTATACTCACCAAGAGCATGCTGTTCACGCAGCTTGAGCAGCTCACTACGCCAACTGTCATAGTAGTGCCTCTCATGATCTGAGCCACACAGCTCATTCCTGTGTGCCCTTTTTGGAGGAGGCCCCTCCAGAGTCACTGGACAGAACTGCTCAAGAGTTTTGTAGGCCGTCTGTTCATCCACCCTTGTGTCTCGGCTGGAAGCTCTATTAAACCTTTGTCTACAAGATCACAAAAAATAAATATTGAAGGAAGGAAAGGCAAGGCTGTGGGTTGCAAATTTAAAAATAAGGATCTCAGTTGTTAGATGCTAACGGTGTTTTCCCAGAGAGCTGATCTAGCACACTTAGAGCTAGAAACGGATCCGAAGATATTCTCCTCATGTAGATTCTTTCAGCTGCCACCACATTTCTCTCCATATCTGACAGGTTTTGTGCTGCCGCCTCAAATGCTCTCTGGGCATCGCTACACGTCACACTGGGGAGACTGTATCTGAAACACAAGGCATCGTAAGAAGGCAAAAAGTGGACAAATGAAGATGTAGAGTTAAAGACAGGTGTAAGGTTGCTTACTTGTCATGTAGTCTTTTTAAGTCATTAGAGGGATTATAAATCGATCTCCAACTACTTGACACAAAAAAATGAATCAACTGCCACATCGTCGCCAGTGCAGTTTTCTTGCAGCATTACTGGCCGCACCTCATTGAAGTACAAGTCGAACCACTAGTTAAAGAAAGGAAAAAAATAAGTATGACTTTGCCACAATATATTTATTGCTGTTATGATTTAAAAATGATATAAAAGACAATATAAACTTACAAGTTCCTGTTCGTGTGACAACGGTACTTTGTGCTCCTTCACTGCAACACAGACACCATTCTCTATCCGGCTTCTCCCCTCCCAATCCTCAACCTGCAAACAGACAGTTTTGCACATCGATGAAGCATATAAGAACAAAGAAGAGAATGTAGGGAAAAACAAACACTTACAGTCATGTGTGTCACAATTCCAGGCTGCTGGACTAGCTTCAGCATGATAACAGCTTCCAGGTAGTACAGGACGAGCAGCCGTTCATTCTTAGTCAAACAGTCCCCTGTGATGGCTCCTGGACCCTGCATTTTGTATATAACGGCCTGGAAATCTTTAAATGCAGCCTTCAAAACAGCAAGGCAGACTTTTTTGCTGTGACCTCCATGCTCACTCTGTATTCTATACAGCACATCCATAAAACTCTCACAGTCCTGGAACAGAGATGGATTTTTGTGGCGAATGTCCGTGGAGGTAATAATGTATTTCATGAACCTTAAAAAGACACACAGCACACAGCACAGCAGACATGATTAGTTATCATGTACATGGCAAGCTTGTGGTGGTTCCACTTTACTGACCTCTTGAGACTCTTCGAGTAGTTGTACACTGTCCATTTTGAGAGCTTTGTATCTGACAAGATGTTAAAGTACTCTCGCACTTTCTCCACCTGCCGGACAAACATCAATTTTGGCTAAGGGGGGTCCATGTAATGCAAGAACCTGGACACTGTTTCCACCTGAAAGGACACATTTCATATTAAAATAAACTACTCCATAAAACAACACCCAAACACTTTTTTACATTTATACTTTCACTTGTTTAGTGAACTTACTACTTATTTGCTGTTTTTATATCCTAGATCAGTGTAAATGTACTTATTAAATCCTGCTAGAAGGGAGTGGTCAATGGAGTGCTTATTGTATAAAGCCTTTTTTGACCATTTCCACCCTCAAGAAAGAGGTCCACATCGGTCCACCAGTGCTGAAATAGAAAAGCAGGTGAGCAAAATGACTTTTTATATTTAAGAGAAGCCATATCCACAGTGTACATTTAATTTCTGGGAATGCCGATTTGAAACTGTAACTCTGATAGTACTCTCTAGAGCTCTCATCAGATAAGGGCTCATTTGGAGGATCCAATGGACTTTCTGCACCTTCTCCAGATTTTTGAGGCGCAGAAGATCAACCGAGCTGGTTCTGGGAGGACTGAAGGTAAGTTATTAATCACAAACCCCTTTGACTGCATCACCGCAATCATCCTAAAACAAGGAACATTAAATAAAGTCAAATAAACAATAGCAATAATTTATATTTATGTATAAATATGTGCAGATGTTTGATTTGAAGCCAGATTCATCAAATCAGAGAAGCATAACAGAGTTACAAACTTGGCAAGAGGATTAGTGGAGTCCAATATGTCACAAATTTTCCCAAACTCCCAGAAATGTCCTCTGTGACAGAATTCGGACAACTCCTTCTTGGCCTCTATGACGACAGCCTTGATCTCTGCCTCTGTGCTGTTCCTCATACACACCTTCCTGAGATGCCCAGGAAGAGAATGAGCCTTTTTGCACACAGGGCAAAGGAAAAAGCATCCTGCTGTGGAAGAATCTGCTTGCATAATAAAATCAACATGTTATAGAGTGAAGAGACCAAGAGCAGCTTTGTGAAGGTTTGGGGTCCACCACACCCCACCCCCAACTCCAGGTACAGAAACAAAGGAATGAGCACACACACACGGCAAAGTGTGCCGGATATTTTGATTAGAGTTTTAAGACAAAACTTAATTTCATATTAATATAATACTGTTACTAACCATATTATTTAAAATGTATTTAAAATATATGACATTTATTATGAGAGAAGATTAAAACTGTCTTAATTATTTCTTAAATTAAGATTATACCACCAGTTAGGATTTACAAGTCAATATCAATTAACAACACAATTAGTGTACAAACTGCTCTCCTTTCACAAACATCTGTCTTTTTCTAAACTTTTAAATTCTAGAAGTTTTTTTTAAATCTAGTAGTACTAAGTTCTAGAAGACTCTATATTTTTAAAGATTTGACTTCCACAAACTTAACTAACTCCACTCATAAAATGGTATAAGCTAATCTGAGTTTTAGAAGCCTGCTGCATAAGGCATACAGACTAAATCTACTCTCTGGTCAGAAGCCAATTCAAATGGTAAAATGTGAGTTCTGTCAACTTGTCAAAAGCAGCAAGCTGTAGCTGAAAGTGAGACAACTGTACAATGATTGAGATGAGATGAACCTCTTTAACCTGAGCTGGCAGCAGGTCAACAACATATCAGGACGCAGCATCTTTGACTTGAAACCTCGAACGTCAGATGAAAAGTCTGATGCTCTACCGACTGAGTTAACTGGGATCATTGGGGCATTAGCTTAGATTTAGGTACTTGTGACGTGTCAGAGTTGCAGCGTGCACTAAAAAGTGAGCTGTACAAAACAGGTGGCAAGAGGGGGGGGCGTGATGCCAATGTCACCAAAAGGAATCCTGCCGTGACCCGAATTCGCCTTAACCACTTAGCCACAACTACAAGACTGACTGTACTGCCTTAGCCATTAACACAGCCGGCACTAAAAGGAGGCAACAGAGTGCAACACCAATGCCATTAAAAAACCTGCCGTGACACGGATTCCAACCAGAATTGCTGCGGCCACAACGCAGAGTACTAACCACTATACGATCACGGCAAGCTATGGGACAGCCACTGGACCTTCACTCTCTGTCAAATGTTTTTGAAAATAAAAAAATTATTTTTATTGTTAAGACATATAATACTGTTAGGGTTGTTGAACATTTGAAGTTCTAAAGCAGCTGTTTTCTCAAAAAAAAAAAAAAAAAAGATGTGATAGTGTAATTAGAAACTGAATTGGAAATTACCTTATTTTAATAGTCGTGAACTGAGGTGGAATCTGAGGCTTGAAACTCCAGGGCTGAAAAAAAGTCCCACTCCGGCCCTGGTATATACTGTCATATTGGGGTGAAATAAACACACACAGTCCTTTTTTTTTTTTAATTTAACAACATAAAAACAGTGGACCAATTGGAGCGGTTTTCAGATCGACAGCAACTTGACGTAGGAGTGTGGCCCCCCACCCACCAACATTAATTGACAGCTGTGCGCATTAACATGTCTCCGTAGTAACACATAAAATCATATCAACAAGACAGGCAGAGCGCAAAGCAACCAGGAAAAAAAGGCCTGTTCAGTTTGCTAGGATCATCAATCATCATCAGACGTGATCAAGAGTGAGTTTTATATGTTTTAAAACAGTGCACGTGTGTAATGAAGTACAGCGATTCACTTCAGATTCCCTTCATCAGCACAGCTGCGTGTCTCTCTCATTGTCTCTCTGTGTGTGTGTGTGTGTGTGTGTGTCTACGCTATGTGTGAGTGTGTGTATCAGCGCTATGTATGTGTGTGTGTCTACGCTATGTATGTGTCCGTCTCCCCTATGTGTGTGTTTGCGTGAACTCATTGTTGCAACTTCACAAAAAATGCATCAAATACTGTATGGTAAAGTTCTTACTGTAGTATTTCTCACAAAAGTTATGTCAGATCTGCTTCCTGAGGCAGCCGAGGGTGGCGATTGAGGCATGTTGCTGACAGGCACGTGGGAACGGTGGGCGGGGATGACTCGCCTTAAAGGCCCAGTGCAAAAAAACAGCAACAACCTTTCCTAGCTATAATACAGACACTTTAAACAGCTATATAATATAATTATACTGATTATAGACTGATAATAAATATGAAAAAGGGGTAACCTATGTGCCCTTTAAATTAATACACTTGTATAAAGTAAATAGTATCTCAAAGCTTTTACTGAGGCTCGTTTTTTTCATACTTTTTTCGTCTCCTTGTGCCACCCCCCAGCAAAATGCCATCCTGGTCATCGACCATATTACCCATGCCTAAATAGGCCTATGCCACTGCTCACACTTATTTAAATGTTTACTGTGTTAACCAATATTGATGGTGATTTTTAATAACCCAACAGCGTTGATTTAATTGTTTTCTGAATCCTGTCATAGTTTTATCAATAACATATTTAACAGGACTTTAGATAAAATATATATGTTTTAAATTAAATGCAATTTAATTGTCCCTACGTAGCAGACCAAGTACTTAAGCACCTCTTGCTTAAGCTCCACCCCCAATTAATCAATTAATTTTTTTGCCAAACCTGTGGATTAATCAAAAAGAAGAATAGCCAGAAATGCCAATTTTTAGTGTTTACTGCAACCAAGTTAATCAAAAGACAATTCGTGAATGAACAAAAATTGGATTTTTGAATTTAAGAATTGTGTGCTACTTTTCCAGAGACCTAAGGAGATCACTAAATTTGTCCCTCTGGGGCAAAATATTCTTTCTTTGAATATAACATGTGTTTATAGCAACCAAGTTTGTCAATAGTTTCTAACCCTTATAGCAGATGAATCCTTTTGTATGTGTCTGAAATGTATGATGTCTGGTACTAAACAAAAGCTAGTGATATTTGCAATACATTGGTGTAAATGAAAAACTAGTATCAGAAACAGTAGTTGTCTTGTAACATTTGATGTAAGATAGTAAAGAACTCACAAGATATTTTACCACATGAAATTATCAAACAGTGGCATTGGCATGGATTAAACCAGAACCCTTAAAAACTCACTGCAACAGTAAAGCTTTGCTTTTTGCATTAGCTCGCTCATGCTTGCTGCTGCTCTCTTCCCCCTATTGCCTTGCTCTCAGACACTGCACCACCAAGCAATCGGGTCGCAAAGAACTTTCCATGCAACCTCTTAAAGTTTAGGAACCGCTGAAACCGCAATAAAAAACTTCTGCAAACCGACTCTCAGCAGAGTCTGTCACCCCGGTAACCCAGGACAACTTCATCACTCAGTGGGACGGTTCGCTGCTAAGTGTGACATGACAGGCAAAGAAACAGCACCTGTAAGTCAGAAACCATGGTGCTTGACTGGAAAAAGGTGGCCATCTAAAAGTTTGGAGGAGAGTCCTTTCCCCAAATGGAGATTGTGAGATTTAAAGATGGATCAGTGAAGCGGCAGCTGATGTGATTGTCTGTTGTGGTGATGGAGCTGAGACGAAACTCAATGTTCTCAATTTACCGCCTTATCAAGGTTCCTACTCTCACCTATGATTATGACTGAAAGGACAAGATCTCGGATACAACCAGACACATTTTACAAAGTGTTATGACCCGCTTGTTTCAGTCGCAACATAAAAGAGATGAGCAAACAAAATACCCTGAATGCAAATTATTTATTATAAAATGTAACTCATAGAACATTCAATTAAAGCAACCAACAAATGTCTAGGGATAATAATGAAGATAAAGAACTTATGATATAATAACAACAACACTTTAACTACATGATATAGGTAATGCAAAACAAAACCATAAGGTTAAAGAGTCAATGAGATGGCAGGTCTTGACATGAGTACTCCAGAGTAGCCACAGGTAGCACAACAACTTTTATATGCTCATCGATGAGTAATGCAGGCATCCAATCAGGATTCACCACATTCTCCAATCAGGAGTCTTGGGATCATCACAGTGTATTAATATTGTAAAACTTAATACCTGTCGCTCTGCCTAAATCATAAAATATTGATCAAGTTTGTATTCTACTCAAAAAAGTAAATGTAGTAAACTAGAAAGAATCTTGAACCTAAAAGTAAAGAAACTTTACTGATAAAAGATGCAACACAGGACAACTGAATGGGCTTTCTAAACTTGGGGCCCTGGTATACTGCAAACTAACCATCCTGAAGCTCCACCTTCTTTGATGTGCAGTGTCTTCCCAGTGATTTGTTTCTCATTCAAGAAGACAGAGAACATTATCCAAAACAACACTAGCTACATTAATAACTGGAGAGTAAAGTACAGATGTATCCACACCTGTACAATCACTTGCATTGTTCTTCTCTCAGCCGCTATCATTTCACTAAATGCTTTTAAAAAGACTATAAAAGATTTAGAAGTTGAAACATAGGTTTGTAGATTTTTTGAATAGTTTGTCAGTGTGATTCGTGTTAACTGTTATGCAGAGTTCAGACTCCATGATTTTAGGCACGATTTTGACTCGCTGACAGGTTTTAAAAAATCGAAGACAAATGCCTGAAATCACAAGCAAATCGGTGCTTGTGCATGTGAGTGACATTCACACAGTATGAACTATCAAAGACGCGATCTAAGAGAATCGGAGATAAGTTGCCTATGCCTGTGAGATATTTGGCTTACTAAATATATGTGGAGCTGTCAGTGATTCAAATTATGCCGTGTGAAATGAGTTTAGACAGAAAATAACATCAGCAATCATCTACCGCCAATGAGAGAGCAGCATCCACTTGTGTGTGTGTGTGTTTACCTGCAGGCCAGCGGAAGGCTAAGGGAGAAGTAAAAATCGTTCTTTTTCGGTTTATTTGGACCCAAGAAATAGATGAAAAACTAGTAAAGGTTTGACTGGAGCACCCGTGTCTGACGTTTCATACAGAAAGTTAAAAAAGAAAGTTGAGGAGAAATGGCTAATTCCCTTCAAACCCAGGTGAGCAAATATGTACATTTTCTACCCCATTAAAGGCTTCTTTCGCGTTATATAGTTGATAACAAAAGATATACGACGTGTTTTTGGCTGAGAGATGTAGTTTGGACGAAGTTGTCGGCGATTCTTCCTATTGTAAAGTCATGCAATTTGAAAGCCCTGTCAACAATCCACCTTGCAGTGTAAACAAAGCATTGACAAAACGCTAGCCCAGATAGTCATGCAGTGTAAACACATTTGTGACACGACTACTTTGAAAATCCTGCAGTCTGAACTCGGCGTTAATTCTTTTAAGTTTGTTGTCTGTTAGACCCATGTGACGTGTACAGCTAATCTTGGCCAGGACACTCTTGTAAAAGAGATTTTTAATCTTAATGTGTGTTTCCTGCTAAAATAAAGGTTATAATAATATTATTATTGTGTTAACATGAACGCGAGAAGCGCAACACATTTACAACCCCACCTACTGCATTGTAGTAGTGTTGGAAAACAGTATACCATCACTCAGCCTTTTCAAACATTTTTCAGACATGAAAAATCCTGTGCACATGAGAAAAAATATTTTGCAGCATTCATGTCATGTGTGCAACTTTTTGTCCATGTGTTTCTTAAGCTACGCCGAATGAGTGGAACTGTAGACACTGTTCAGATCAGTACGGTTTCTCTCCAGTGTAAATCCTCTTTTGTGTTTTCAGATGTGTTAACTGATTAAACCTCTTGTCACAGTGTGAACACTTCACGTCTCTCCAGTGTGAATCGTCTGGTGCAATTTTAAATTTGGAGCTGTATTAAAAGTTTTCTTACACTCAAAGCACATATGCTCTTTCACACCAGTGTGGATCTTCATGTGTACATTAAGGTCTGACGATTGACTGAAACTCTTCCCACACTGATTGCATGTGAATGGTTTCTCTCCAGTGTGGATCATCATGTGTATATTAAGGTCTGACGATTGACTGAAACTCTTCCCACACTGATTGCATGTGAATGGTTTCTCTCCAGTGTGGATCATCATGTGTATATTAAGGGATGATGATTGGCTGAAACTCTTCCCACACTGATTGCATGTGAATGGTTTCTCTCCTGTGTGGCTCATCTTGTGTAAATTAAGGGATAATGATTTGTTGAAACTCTTCCCACACTGAGTGCATGTGAATGGTTTCTCTCCAGTGTGGATCATCATGTGTATATTAAGGGATGATGATCGGCTGAAACTCTTCCCACACTGAGTGCATGTGAATGGTTTCTCTCCAGTGTGGATCCTCATGTGACTCTTAAGTTTGCTTTTGCTTGCCAAACTCTTTCCACACTGCGTGCAAGTGAAACGTTTCTTCTCTCTCCTTTTCAAAATGCCATCAGTCTGTAAAATAGTTTTTTCCTCAATTTTGACGGGGTGTTCCTCCTCTTTACTCCACTCATTTTCTTCAATTTGGTCTGAAATATAAAAAAAACTCTCATTAAAAGCTGAAAAGTTACACTGGCTACACACACTGTAATTTTGATGCACATTAAATGTAAAATAAATCAAATCATATTTTGTTCGGTCCATTAATGTGTACACATTTAAGCAGGTTCAATTCAATTAATCTTTCAAGAGTTCACACTTAGCTGATGATTGATTATAAGCAAGTTTGGCATGCTGTCCCTGTAGAGAGCCGTTTGCAGGGCGAGAGAGGTACTCTGAGCTCAAGTAGGTCTCGAGAACTCTCCAAAATGCTGTGCTCTGGACAGCAGCCGCATATTTAAAGAACCCACCTAAAAGGCAATGAAGATCAATGCAATACCTGGCTGCTGGGTATAAAAAGGTGTTAAAATGGTGCTAGAAAAGCTTGTAGGAGCAATAACGGGACCGGTGTGGGTGTAAATGGTGAGATACGTCATCAAGATGTTTGATGTGTTTTGTGTATTTTTGTCATTTTTTGTGCTGGATGTACACACCCTTATTACCAACGACAGACACACACTTCGGGAAATTGGCTCCCTCGTTGCACATCGAAGACCGGACTTTGAGTTCTTTAACGACGCTCTGTTTACAAACACAGCAACAGAGCCCTTTGTCTGGGACACACAATAGAAGCGACGAAGGAAACGCAGCTGGAAAAGAGGAAAGAGAGTCGGCTTCCTCGTTAGACTAACACGCCATGGATTTTCAACCTCTGTTCCCACCATTCTGCTGGCTAACGTTCAGTCACTGGACAACAAACTTTGTAAGCTACGGGCGGGCATTTCCTTCCAACGGGAAACAAGAAACTGCTGCATTATCTGCCTTACAGAAACCTGGCTGTCTGCGGAGGTACCAGACACAGCTGCTGAACTTTCGGGGTTCTCTGTGCACCGCGCGGATAGAACGAAAGAACTCACAGGGAAAAGCAAAGGAGGAGGTGTATGTTTCTTTATTAACAACTCATGGTGTGATGAGTGGAACACACACCCAGTTAGATCATTTTGTTCTTCTGATCTGGAATACCTTATGCTTTGGTGTCAGCCATACTGGCTACCAAGGGAGTTCACAGCTGTTATCATTACGGCTGTCTACATCCACCCTCAAGCCAACACAAAGCAAGCGCTCAGGGAACTGTACGGGAGCCTAAGTGAACAGGAAATTTTAACAATGCTAATTTCAGCAAAATCGCTCCAAAATACTATCACCACATCACCGCAAACACGCGTGGGGATCGCATTCTGGACCATTTCTATTCCCCGTTCCGGGACGCATACAAATCCCTCCCAAAGTTCGAACAGCCCTATCAGTGCGAGCTTCTGCCTATAAATCCAGAAATGCTGAGGAACAAAAACAAGCAAATTACAACCTCAGGAAAAACATCAAAGCAGCAAAACGTCAGTACAGAGACAAGGTAGAGGGTAAATTTAACACCAATAACGCAAGGAGCATGTGGCAGGGACTTAATTACATCACAGACTTTAAAAGTAACAAATCCGCCACTGTAAACATTGCTGCATCTCTCCCGGATGAGCTCAACTCGCCCGCTTTGAAGCCCAGGACAATGCGCGGGCCGCGCGCACACTGCGCGCCCCCGCGGCCGAAACCGAAAGCACACTTTAGTGGACGTAACGAGAGCTTTTCGATGCGTCAACATCCGCAAAGCTGGAGGTAGTGTACTTGCGCACATGTGCACACCAGCTAGCGGGGTTTTTCATGGACATCTTTAACCTGTCACTCTTCCCACATGCTTTAAGACACTTACTATTGTGCCCATACCAAAATTAGCTAAAACCACATGCTTGAATGACTGGTGTCTGATTGCTGACACCCATCTTCAGCAAGTGCTTTGAGAAGCTGATTAAAAAGCACATCTGCTCTGTACTGCCCGCTCACACAGACCCTCTGCAATTTGCAAACAGGAATAACCGCTCCACTGATGATGCAATTGCTTTCACCTTTCACACTGCTCTGTCTCACCTAGAAAACAAAAACACATGTGAGAATGCTGTTTGTGGACTACAGCTTAGCATTCAACACCATAGTGCCTGCCAAACTGGTGGTGAAACTCCAGGCTCTGGGTCTTCACAGCTCACTGCGCAACTGGATCCTGGACTTCCTGTCAAGCAGACGCCAGGTAGTCAGAATGAACCACATTACATCATCCACACTGATCCTCAACTCTGGTGCTCCACAGGGCTGTGTTCTCAGCCCACTCCTGTAATCCCTGTACACACATGACTGTAGAGCCAAACACAGGTCCAACGTCATCGTTAAATTTGCTAATGACACAACCATGGGCGGCCTATTCACCAATAATGATGAGAAGGTGCACACTCTGACACAGTGGTGTGAGGAAATCTACCTCTCACTCAACATCAGCAAAACCAAGGATCTGGTGGTGGATTTCAGGAGAGAGAAGAGAGAACACACCCCCATCACCATCAACAGAAAGCCAGTGGAGAGAGTCAGCATTTTCAAGTTTCTTGGGAGTCCACATCGTTAAGGAATTGACATGGACTGCTCACACAGACGCAGTGCTGAGAAAGGCACAACAACGCCTCTTCTTTCTCAGGCGTCTCAGAAGGTTTGGAATGAGCCCCCACATCCTCTGCTCGTTCTACACCTGCACTGTGGAGAGCATTCTGTCTGGCTGTATCACCACCTGGTATGGAAATAGCACCAGCAGCAATCGCAAAGGCCTACATAGAACATTCCATTTCCGTAAGAAATCTGTAATTGTAAATTTGTTTCGGGACTTGTAAAAGTGTTTTGCGTCTTGTTAATTTTTTTCCAAAATGTAAATTTGTTTCATCCTTGGTAAAAAAAAAATTTCTCTGTAATTGTGTCTGATAGGTAAAAATGTTTTTCAACATGTAAATTTGTCTCAAGCTTTGTAAAAGTGTTTCACACTTTGTAAAGTTGTTTTGCACTTCCCGGCCACCGTAGTTTCCAAATGCTATCGTGTTCATTAATTGCAGCCGGTTTTAAAGCTCCACCAGTCACTAAAGGACACTGATAATATAAAATCCGACCATAGTATAAATGTGCAGGTACAACTTAATTTTCTGTCCTTAATATTTTGGTGTTTCAACTATTAAACTGCTTTTATTTACTGCTTCCACTTACTAGCTCATAAGTGATGACCCTACCTCATCACTATGTTGAGGCTAAATGGCTGATTTTCAGGGAGTAATGATTCAAGTGTATAATACAAATATAGTGAAAAAAAAAACATTGTTTAAAGCAAATGTTGCTTTACACAATGTTTCTTTTTACTATATTTGTAATATACAATTGAAACATAACTGGGCACTACATTGTTACTTGCTTGAGGACAGAGCATACCTTTTCTGCCTTATATGATGACACCCTACCTGCAGCCTGACCCAGAAGAGACCTCAGTGACCCAAGCAGACCAAAGAGATGGAAGAGTGCTAAGAAATATAATTCGTCAAAAAAATATATTTAATTAAATAGTTTCGTCTGAAGCACTTCATTTCTTCATTTCCTAAAATAAAATGATTATTTACAATGCTTTATACACGCACCTTTCAACGTGTAACATATTTTTCATATACATTTCTCACCTTAAGGTGATGCTCATGTGACCTGATTTATCTTATTTAGAATTATTATTAATAAAATATATCTGAATGAGGATCAAATGACTGAGTTGGTCTTTGAGATTGAAAATCAACCTGTTTGTTCCTGCAGATCTTCCTGTTTGACTGTGAATGTTTCTTCAATCTTCACATCTTCACTCTCCTCTTTAATAAACGCCATCTTTATAACAGTGTGGAGATCAGTCGCTTCAGCAGGAGTTTTTCTCTGTGTTTGGAAGCTTTATCCTGTTTAAAATGACCTGTTTAAAATTAATAAAACAATAAACTGAATCAAAATAACTTCTCTTTAACACTTGCTTCAACAGTTTCTTTATATATATATATATATATATATATATATATATATATATATATATAGAGAGAGAGAGAGAGAGAGAGAGAGAGAGAGAGAGGGGTAAATTTGGTTTTATATTCGCACATTTAGAAGTCTCTGTTGTTTACCATGCTACTTGAATATTTGATCAGAATTAGCTTGCAAGTGTGGCTTGAAAACAACATTAACACTGTTTATTTGACTGTGAACAATGTTGTACTTTGATAGTCATTGGCTGCTAATAGAATTTCGCTATTTAGAGTTTGCAAATAATACTTTATTGAAGTTAAGAATAGTAGGCTACTTTGGTGTATAAAGGGTTAAAATAATTTGTCAACAGCAGGTCCACAATTTAGGGATGGCTGATGCGAAACTGACGTTTCGACACAGTGTCGAGATCCCGAAGCGCAAGTGTTTTGAAACACTGCACCGAAGCATGATCCGAAACACTGGGGTCACGTGACTGAAGTGATTCGAAACACCCAGGTCACGTGGCTAAAGAGATCCAAAGCATCAGGGCGGCCCAAGTGTTTCGGGACGTGGCATACCTGCCGAATCACAGTTTGATTGACAGGGTTGTAAACAAATCACAATCGCACATCTGTCTGAATCTAATTTCAAAAAAAGGATAAAAATGGTGCTATCTCATGTTCAATTCGTGGGTTTTTGTGAGAGGAGAGATATTTTGCGATTTAGAGACATTTATAGTGCATATTTAAGCTACATTAAAACTTTATTGATAGACAGGCTATAGACACTGACAAATAGTTATAGGATACATTTGCTGATACATTGATACATTTATAGGCATACATATACATCCATACACATACATCCACATAGGTATACATATACACCCATAGGCATACACATACAACCATATAGGCATACATATCCATAATTTATATATTTATTAAAATTATAAAACTGAATTAGAAA